GTTTCGCCAGCACCTGTGACCGGCATCTTCAGAGTACAGGAGCACAGACAGGAGCAGTTCTCCTGCACTCAAATACATCAAATTTTTACTCATTTTTTCAATTCAAAATGTATTGCCCATTGCCTTTCTTTTAGAACAAAAATAAAATTGTAGAAAGATGTTAGCTTTATTTTTATGCTTTTCATTCAGTTTGTGATATTTTCAGTTTAAAAATAAAGCTGAAAGACAACTGCTACCAAAAGATCTTAACAAGCCTAGATGATCTGACTTGGTATTTCATGCTTGAATCTCATGTTTCTCAATATGGAAAGAAAAGTGAGCAGTGTTTCATGTTGTGTATGTATGAGTACCATATTTTAACCCTATCTAGTAAAGGTTCTTGGCAGTCTGAAATTAATTTCAGAAATAAATATCTGTAATGGTTCTCATGAAGTCTTCCCAACCACAGGTCTTATCAGTGCATATGTCTTGTGGAACATTTAATGTATAAATAATATATGCACCTTATTAGTTTCAGTACACACAAAATTCTACAAAGTCCAAATAACTTTTTACATGGTTCAATTTAATAATTTTATGAAACTGGTCCAAAGTAGTAAATGAGCATTTAACTACAAACATCTGAAGTAATGCTGTCTCTTTTAGTAAAATGATAATTCCTCCTTCCTCATTCATATCATAGTTCTGATATTGAAACAGTAATTTCTGGATTTTTATCAGTTGGAATTACAAAATTGTCTTTCTCCTCATTAGAGGTCACAATACTAGGAACAGTAAAATAGCCAACTATGATTCAACAGTTTGGTAGAGGGGTAGGAATAAGTGCTTAAAATTCCATGGTTAGGTAACTTTGAAATTAAAGCCAAGAAAATTTCAGTTCTGAGCTTATATGCACTGTTTGGTAAATTTACAAAAATTGCTTGATTTGGTGCAGCTTAGTGAATTTGTGCCCCTTCATGGATCACTGCCTTGTCGTGGCGAAGGGGCTTGCGTAACTCAGTGAAG